CAACGAGCCGGATCCGAGGTCTACTCAGACGACAGCGATCAGTCTCACATGGCACCGCTTTCCAGCTTCACTTTCCATTCACTCCCATTCCACGATCGCCCATAGCCTGGGCACCTCGGCATCCGGGGTACTTCCTCGCCGCCATTCATATAATCTCCTCGTCATCGCCAGCGCGCATGAGCTGACTAACCACCACTACTCTCAATGCCAGAATGGCATCCATCACCAGTATGAGCGATTCGAGTGAACCGCCGAAAGTGGAACGCACGACGAATGGGCTCAATGAGCTCGAGTATGGCGAGATCCACACGAAACCCGCTCTCATTAACTATGTCGCGGCCGTCTTCGCGTGAGTGGAGATTCACCACTGAGCTAGCGGAGCAAGATTCACAAGCTAACCTCAGTGCAATCGGGTCCTTCCTTTTCGGTACGAGTTGGGTCAAGTGTTCCTCTAACTCGCAGGCTATGACAGCGGCATCATCTCCTCCGTCATCTCGGAGAACTACACCGAGTTCCACGCATACTTTGACGCAAGCCCGAGCGTAGTCGGTGCCATCGTCAGCGTGTTCGCAGGCGGCGCGTTCTGTGAGTGGCGTCTCCTTGTTGATTTAGCTAGGAAGAAAAGAGATAGCTGACCGCAGTCGGTGCCGCGCTGGCAGGACAGACGGCCGATCGCCTGGGGCGCAAGCGGACGATCCAGCTCGGCGCCCTAATCGCCGTTGTGGGGTGCACGCTGCAAACGGCGGCAGTGCACGCGGCGATGCTCATCGTAAGTTTGCTTTCGGGGCAGGCTGCGTCTCAGCTGACCAAGATCTCATGGCAAGCTGACTTCAGGTGGGAAGGCTTGTTGCCGGCTTCGCCGTCGGCGTCCTCTCGATGATCGTGCCGCTGTACCAGGCCGAGATCAGTCCCCCACACGCACGAGGACTGCTGAGCGGATGGACGCAGCTGGTACGTCTAGCTGTTTCGCGGGAGCCAAAGCTGACATACAGGCAATCAGCGCCGGTTTCTTCGTCGCCAACTGGGCCGGGTACGGCTGCCAGTTCATAAAGGGCGAGGGGCAGTGGCGAGTCCCTCTCGCGCTGCAGAATGTCCCTGCCCTGCTCCTCTTCGTGGGCATGCTGTACCTTCCCTACTCGCCGCGATGGCTCGCGAAAGTGGGCCGAACGGAGGAAGCCCGCTCGACTCTGGTTCGCCTGCACGGTGGCCGGAGGGCGGACATGGCCGCCGTCGATGCCGAGATTAACGCGATGCTGGCCCAGATCGAGTGGGAGCGTAGCGTGAAGGGAAGCTACCTCGACCTTATCCGGGGACGGGCCAACCTCCATCGCACAGTTGCGGCGTGTGCAGTGCAGGCCATGACGCAGTTCAGCGGCATCAACGTGAACTCGTACTATGGGCCGCAAATCTACAACGCGCTCGGTGAGTCACATCTCTCTCCCCTTTCTCGGGCCCTCGCCAGACTCCTGGGCCTCAGCTTAACACGAGCATTGAAGCTGACCCCAGGCTTCAACGGCACCTCGACTCTGCTCATCAACGGCATCTCCGGCGCTTGGGGCATGCTCTGCGTCTGGGTCTTCATCACTTTCCTCGTGGACCGAATCGGGCGCCGGCGGCCATTGATCATTGGCTCCGTCCTCCTATCCCTAGTCATGGCCTGGCAAGCGGGGACGAACGCGCCCTTCGACATTCACAAGCGCCACGGCGAATCCTACACCAACGAATCGGTCGGCATAGCCGGGATCGCGGCCACATTCGTCTTCAGCTGGTTTTTCAGCTGGAGCTTCGGGCCCGTATCGTGGATCTACCAGTCTGAGATCTTCCCGCTACATCTGCGAGCGAGGGGGACGAGTGTCGCCACAATGACGAACTGGGCGTGCAACGTCGGTATAGCCCAGGCTACCCCCGTTGCGTTCGAGCACATTGGGTGGAGATACTTTCTCGTCTTTGTCGTGTGTAACCTTGCCAATGGGGTGGGGGCTTATCTCCTCTTCCCCGAGACGAAGGGGCGGACGCTCGAGGAGATCGCGGTGTTGTTTGGGGATACGAGTGGGCAGGTGCGGCCCGTCGTGTCTTCCGCTGCCACGTCCGATCTCGAGAGCAAGGTCAGTGGAGCCAGCAGCCCGGGCGCAGTGTAAAGAAGTTGTATAGCGTGTATCTTAGAAAACCACTAGATGTATCAACGACCGCTCAGGCTAGCGCGTGCGCGATCCGCCGTACCCCGTCGCCCTCCGACTGGGGCCAGCATCACTCGGGCCACTATCCCTAGTAGACGGCGGCTCATAGTCCGCCCAACTCCTCTGCGCGGGTCTCTGCGCCCTCCACCGCGCATAATCCCCTACATTCTCTCTCTGCTCCCCCGCGTCTCTCTGTCTCGTCGCCCAATTGTACGCCGCCGTCCGCCGAGTCCGAGGCCCGAGGGCTGCGTTGCGGGATCAGGTTTGGCGTGAGGTGAGTATGGAGGCGGGGGACTCGAGTCGCCTCCGCCGCCTGGACCCCA